TATTTCACCGGCATTATGCCTATGGCGGCCTCGTTGCATTCTTTGTATTCCAACAAAGTAACCAACCTTAATTTCCAACTCGAATAGTTTGCCCCATCAAAAATAGGTATCATGATGTCTTCTATTTTAGCTTGTTGTGCCATATTTACGTATATTCTAGTAGATTCAGACGTTTTCAAAACCAACTTTTTCGCCGTGACCGGATAACCTCAATCGTAATTTGAATTCATATTTGCACTTCATATTTATTGACTTTTTCGTGAAACCACTTAACCTCGCTCAGCTACCATGTTGAAGTGGTGGATGTGGTTGAATAATAGATAATAGCTTGTTACATTTCGTAGTTTTATTATAAATCACACAGAAAGCACATGATGGGCGCCATGCAGACGACAAAAGGGAAGAGCACAGATGACATATCGACGTCTATGAGAAACTCGCCAACTTGACACTAGATGGCGCTACTTATATTATTTAACTTAAGATTATAATATTTACCTTGTTACAACAACTTCATCAATACATTGTGTTTCACCAATTTTCCACTTATCAAACTTTTGAGAGTGGAGTAAGAATTCGTACGAAGAACTAATTTAACTTCCTAAGTTCTATATTACTTTGCTGGAAGTTAAAACTTGCAATGTACTTACATAGAAATGCTTGCATGTCGCGATTCCCAGGGAACCTTCTCGAAGTAATATGCTTGAGTCAAGAAACTCAGGAATTCTTCCTACAATCTCCCTTATGGCAATAGTTTAAACGCTACCTACAGCACTCTAAAAGTTTGTGTTGACTTTTCATAGGTAAGATTTTGATATGTGAGAGTGAGTTTAAATGAAATTGTATGAGTCACTGAGAGTATGTAAGTTTTAAGATTTAAAAAAGACATAGAGTATTAATGTCGCCACCTTTTTTTAATTAAAAGTTTTTTGCGCTAGTGTTGCAACAAAGACATAATTGTGTACTTGCCAACTGTTGCCAACTAGTCAAATTCAATACTTTTTTCGAATTGTTCTATGACTTTTTTACGAGATTGTGTATTGTGACGTCACGTTTTTTTAGCATCAAGCAGCATACTTATTTTTTGAAAAAATTGCTGGTAAAATACTAAAATTAAGATGATCATAAAATCAATTAATGAAAGTGTAATTATTTTTTAATATTTCATTGTATTGAACTGTCGAAATAATTTATTTTTGATTAAGGCAAATACCCAATTAGAAAAAGTTCTAATGTGATTAAATTACCCTCATTCAAGTTTCTCCAGTCTTAATGTACTTAAGTACAATTGGAAATATTCCCAAAGCACTACATGTCCTACGAATTCGTGTTCTACAAAACGGATAGGCTACAGGGAATACCTCAGAAGGAAAGGATATAAATCTAAAAAGGGTTTAGCCTTCTAAATGATTCTCTCACAAGTTTTATGGTGAACAAATAATATAAGTTTGTGACCGAAGGCGTTTTCCCTAGGTGTTACCCTACGACCTACAATAGCTTGTATTACATCAATTTCAATGTCCTACAAAATTTACTCAATGGATTTTTTTTTATATAATGATGCCATATTGATAGTTGGGACTCGGTATTGTTCGTTCGTAATTTTTTAGTAATCTATACTAATATTTATACTAATATTATAAAGCTGAAGAGTTTGAGTTTTTTTTTGTTTGTTTGTTTGAACGCGCTAATCTCCGAAACAACTGGTCCAATTTGAAAAAATATTTTTATGTTGGTTAAAATATAATAGGCGCCAAGCAGAGCGAGTGAAACCGCGCGGAAGTAGCTAGTATCGAATATGGAGTCTGGAGTCGATTGTGTTCAGAATTATAAGATAACTGGCGCTTTATTGCAACTTGTTTAATTATTATTTTTTCGTTGAAGTAGCCATCTGGTTTGTAGGTAAGAAAATATAACATTGACTCGGTGCAGAAACATTAGCTTTTATTCTAGTAGTAATATATTATTTATCGGAAGTCATGGGCGGCACTGATCGCTTACTATCAGGTGATCCGTCTGCTCGTTTGCCTCCTATTCGATAAAAAGAAGCCAAATCTGTCTCTAGGGTAGCTCTATAGTCACTTAATGGTGACTGTCTCTGCACTAAATCAATCTTTATTTTCTAAACTGCATACCAAACACTGATTGCTCATTCTACTCACACCCGAAGGGGTAGGCAGCGGTGCATGTTACGGCACTTAATTTAAGTGTACAATGTAACATCTACTCTTCACTATTTATGTTATGAGTCCCATGTAATAGGGAGTGAGCCAATAGCCATATACCGGGCACAATTTCAGACTCCGTGCTACTGAGAATTTTTAAAAACCCAGTAATATTTTGCGCGACCTGGGGATCGCTTCTGAGACTTGCCCGATATTCACACTTGCAATCACTCGGTCAAATTCTACTTCTTTGTCAATAATACTCATTGCTAAATACAATTATTCCACAATTGTTAACTTATTGAGGCTGTGTAAGTATATCTTGTGTATTTTGCTATCACTTTCATCACAATCATAAGAAATTATATAGAACCTTTTCCTATACCGCAAAACAGAAGATGCTTGACTGGCAATGAATGACCTGACAGATGTATTCGAAAGAACTACCCTCAAGCAAACACGTATTGTTGTGAACCGCCGCTGTCGTTTGCACTTTGTTGTTTCCTACGTGTAGCAATCCCTGCGGTGCATACAACATGAAATGTATTTTGTGCCTATTTATAAAGGTTTAAATCACCTGCTACTTTCATCTCTGCACTGCTTGAAGGTTGACTGGGAGACAATGCCCAAGGCATTAAGTCCACCTGTACACACTTGGTGTATAAAGTTGAAATAAATAAAATAAAATAAATAATAAATAAGACATTTTCAAGTTTATTGTTATATTATACAGTTTAAATTTTATTTTTTAAAGGTGGATTGGTGTGCTAGTGTCGGTACAAAGCTGGATATAGGAAACTGGTTGGTAAGCAATAAAATTAATATACATCTCCTTTTCGAAGTTGACAATTTTTTTATGGGACCGACTATAGTCGTCTATTGATAAAATCTTCCAAGAAAACTAGCTCATAGTTATAAAGAATTTATAGCAGTACTTAGGCAAACGTACGCCTTGTCAAAAGTGTAACCTTCGAATCTAGATATTATGGTATACCGAAGATTTATTATAACTTACAAGTAGACCATAAATCTTTGATTTACCATGTATGAACTGTCATTCGTATGATATAGCTCATATCAATTCTTGGTTTAGTACTCGTTTCTTGCTTTCGTATTCGTTTTTAGTGCTACGACAATAACTGATGGGTTTACGTGTTTTAGGCATGGAAGAGTCTTGAACGAATTACCATGTAAAAACCGGTATCAGCGCTTTATCTGTACTTAGTTTTGTGCTGTTTGGTGACAGCAAAGTAGAACATATATTTATCTCTTCTTTTATCTTTAAAAGCTATTCATAAGAGTCAACTAAATGAATACATATATATTTGACAGATACCAACAGCGATCTCTCATCATTAACAGCCGGAAGACGTCCACTGCTAGACATAGGCCTCCCTTTTTGTCTTCCACGTCAAAAGACAACTCGCCACCTGCATCAACTGGATACCCATAACTCTAGCGATATCATCGGTGCATCTAGCGGGAGGCTTGCCGACGCTTCGTCTTCCAGTCCGTGGTTTCTACTCAAGGACTGCCCTGGGTCGTCTGCCGTCAGTCCGTCGAGCGACGTGGCCTTCCTATTGCCACTTTAGTCTGCAGATTTTGCGAGCTATGTTGGTAACTCTAGTTCTTTGGCAGCGATCTCTGATAAAACTGAACTTTTTAAATTGTTACTACATGACAAATGGTGGTTTGGTGGACAGTCTAGGCTGTCCACCAAACGTGGAGATAATGACAAACTCTTTTATATAGAAGAATCTCATAGTTCAACATATTCAAATTCAGTTAAGCCAACATGAGCTGTTGTTGTACTAACAATTTAGCCATCCCGGTAATTTGACCCACGACTTGCAGTAGCGCGTATGATCAATTCGGTCAATGAGGCAGAAAATGAGTGTAATCACAAGTAAATTGGCATATCCAATGAACTTCTATGACCTTTGCTAACACGTGTATCTCAGCTGCCAATTCATATCGACAGTCAATTAAATTATGTCGGGACTGAATGGATTTTAATCAATAAATTAATTGATGGAATAAAAAAAATCCGTTTGATGTCATGTCAGGAATCACCCTTATCATCGAAGGGAAAAACGTCAATTTTATTGATAAAACTCTAAGCGCAATCGAGGTGCCCATTAATGTGAATAAAAGGTACAGAGAATTGATTGATTATAATTTTGTTATGTGTTCCGATCCAGTCTCTAACTGAAGATATAATCCTCCTTATATTATTTAATATTTTTTATAGGGTAAGCTGGTTAGCGAGCAGACGGATCACCTGATGGTAAGCAATCGGCGTCGTCCATTAACACCTGGAACGCCAGGGGCGTTGCACTTGCAACTGCGTTACCGGCCTTTGGAGGATAAGGAGTTTGAGGATTGTTGGGAATTCAGGGAGATTGGGAAAGGGGGGGAGGGGCTTCATTGGGCCTCCGTTAACCTCACTCACTCGACGGAACACTACGCAAGCGATGATTCACGTCGGTTTTCTGTGAGGCCGTGATGTCACTCTGATCGAGTCGGCCGATCCGTGCCGAAGCACGGCTCTCCCAAACTTAAAATACCTCTAGTATAGAACATTAAACAGAAATCACTTGATATGCATTATTAAGATAATACCATTTTCATGTCTATTTATTTACGCTTGCTGCTTGAGGCTTTTAATATAATGTAAGTTAGATTCATTTCAGAAAGCAAAACTTATATTACAACGGATGGAGACACAATAAAAAAGGTTTAATGTCTTTTTCTAAACATTAAAAAATATACAATGACCAAAGATACATTCTGTTTTGACATTTAATGGCCGCTTCTTTTTGGCTTCTATAATTTCTACTACGTTTCTATGATAGATGAGACATTAAATTGAAAAAGTATACATGGTTTAAAAAAATTCGTATTTTTAAATAAATTAAACAGAATGGCGTGTGCTACTCCGTGTTCATTCTTAATGCAGAGTTACTTTCTGTACTCAGCGTTACTGGCGTTACAATTATTAGCATTGGCGCCTTTAGCAGGGATGGTGTGCAATCCAGAAAAAATTCAGCGTGCAAATATAAGTGACTTGAAGAACCTAACACCGTTCTGGTTGGTGGCAGCCCTGTACATGACGACTTCTCCAGAACCGATAACTGCTAGATCACTCCTTCGCGTTTATGTCATAGCTCGAATAGTGGCCGCCATGGGTTATATTTACAAACTACCCAAAATGCTCACGGACTCAGCGTTCTTCGTGTCATTTCTTATAACAGGTTATATGGGAGCAAGTGTAGTATATGCGTATAGGGAAGCGCTGTAGAGACCGCAATCGTTTCACAAAAATGTTTGTGCATTTGAAATTCATATGAACAATGTGTCGTAAGATTTATGTCGCTATAAAGGAAAAAGATTATGTATACTTTTGTCAATATAATGTTAAACTTTATCATACGACTGTTGTTTCTTTTTTGTTCCTGAGCGATATTTCGCATGAAATATGACTGGAGTTACTCCGTTTGCCATTTGGTACTTTCAAGTTAATATTTCTTTCTTTTAAGGGTATTACTGAATGTTATTTCGTGGAATTGTTGTAAAATAAAAACCAAACATATTTGTTTGTTTTGTGCCAACTCTTTGCTTGCACTTTATGAGGATAGTATCGAGATCTTTTGATTAGAGATTAATCCTGTTAATTAGACATATTTATTATTATAAATATTCTTGTTATACCTCTGTATTAGATAATGTAGCTGTAGCTCAACAATTCAAGTCAAGTAGTCAAACGTCAGTAAATTTTTAAAAGTGCTCTCAAGTAGTTCTGTACACAGCTTCTGTCACAATACAAATGCCTTACAAAATGACAGAAATATAACAATATTTAGGTACAACATAAAAATTCAGTAGTATTTCACAGTCGTATAGCGAATATTTTGGGCTCGCTGCCATTGCAGCGGTAAGTCCCCTCTTTGAGGAGTGGCTTGAGAGACGCTACGGCGTCCTCACCTACCGCCTGACGCAGGTCCTCACCGGACATGGAAGTGTCGGGAGGTACCTGTGTCTGATGGGGCGGGAGGAAACGCCCGGGTGTCATCACTGCGAGGACCGCCCTGAGGACACGGTGGAACACACAGTGGGAGAATGCCCTGCGTGGGCTGAGCACCGCCGTGCCCTCAGGGAAGTGATCGGCGATGGCGACCTCTCGCGTCCGGGCCTAGTGCAGGCCATGATGCGGAGCGAGGGGGACTGGGATGCCGTCTCCTCCTTTTGCGAAGCAGTCATGCTAGCTAAGGAGGAGGCGGGACGCGTGAGGCAGCGAAGCGCTGCCTCCTCGCAACCCAGCTATCGCGAAGGACACACCGGGCGTCGGGGATCGCGGGACGATCTCCGGCCACCGTAAGCGCGGGCCTGCGGACGGTGAGCATGGGTGGCTCCCCGTCCGACCAGAAACAGACCCGAGCGTACGGCGCGTCGCGTTCCGCGCGCGCCTCAAAGAGCCATCAGACCACCACAGATGGGGCCCAATAGGGCCGATGCCGATTCGTAGTCGCGGAGAACCTAACGGGTAACCGGGGCTCCGGCTCGACGTGCAGGAGAAGGAACGGGGTGGTTTTTAGTCAGTAAGAGTCTGACACTCCCTTCCGCCTCACCCAGGCGGGAGCAGTCATTCGATGATTTTCCCCCCTTAAAAAAAAAAAAAATAGCGAATATTTATTACAGAAAAGTACAGTTACAGTTTATTAATAGAAAAGGCTTGACATATGTATACCTAGTACCGTATTTATTCGGAGTTTGCAAATCAATAGTCAAGTCCGAAACTTTGGAGATTTCCCAGTGGGTGCGTCCTCACTCCTTAGGTTCACAATCTTTGAAAGTTGACTTGTTGACTTTCCTTTCACAAACTTGTAGGAACGACCTCCTATGAACGGCGAACCTTTTTAAAGCTAACGTGCGACGCTTTGTGAATAATTCATGAATAAAGTAAGTACTTATTGTGTGTCGAATATTTTAGATGAATTATTGAGATTGTAAGGTCTTATTAGAATGATAAGAGTAGATATTCTTTTATTGCTGATTGTCCTTGTTTTTTTAAATGTCTGGCTTCCATCTTTTGTAAAATGCGTCTTCATTATTTGGATTTCAGATGATGTAGAACGAAAATTATATTATTTAAATTTAAGTTTTGTGCAACTTGGTCGTAACGCAACTAATAAAATGGATTTTTTGTGATGGATTTTTGTTTATCTGGGTTTTGATGCAGTTCAAATCAAATGAGTAACTATTCAATACAAATTCAACCGAAAAAGAATTCAACATAAGTCAAAGGCAAAAACTTTGATGCGCTAAAGAAAATCAAACATTGCGTTACAAGTTGTTTGCTTACAAACTAAACATCAAATATGCAACATAGTGCAAGCTTGTGCGCAGTTCACTGACACTTATGTTCAAAGAAAACAGCAAATTGTGGTGGCTTTTGGCACAAATATGACTTGCATCATCAACTTTGTTTAAAATTTCGTTGGGGTTTTGCCAGATTTCATTAGTTTGCGCGTGAAAAATATTACTTTGGATTGCAGTATGGTCACTATTCATTCGCATATTAATGGGTATTTTTCAAGCCTTTTTAGAATCATTAATTTACCTGTGTAATACCACGCAGCAACATATAACTGTGTAATTTATTCTATTTATTTTAAACAGTCACGACGGCAAGAAGTCCAATTACAGTAATACATAATGTCGTGGTGGCCCGGAGGTTAAGACGCCCGCTTCTCATGCATGAGGTCGCGGGTTCAAAACCTTCCAACGGCAAGTACCAATGTGACTTTTTCGAGTTGTAACGACACGAAACACTATTGGAAAACGGTGAATGGAAACATTGTGAGGAAAAGTGGACTTATAATTTCTAATTATAAGTTTGAAATCGCACACCCACAATGAGTAAGTGTGGTGATTAATGCTTAATCCTTATCCAGGTGAGAAGAGACTTTGCTCAGCAGTGGCCACTTATAGCCTATTAATGATAAATACTACGCAGGTCATAATTATAATGACACGATAATCATAATGTGTAATGGCTATCAACCATACCAGCGTATCTGAAAAGAAGCAGACTGTGGAAGAGTTAAACTTGAATTGTATTAGAGGCATATGAATATGAAAAGTGTGATTATATCTAAACCCTTAAATATTAAAGATATATAACATAACATAACATCACGCCTTTTATACACACAATTCCAGACTCCATACTACTATTGTTTTTTTTTAAATCCTAGTATTACTTTGCCCGACTCGGGAATCGAACGCGAGACCTCGTGCCCGGCAGTCACACTTGCGACCACTCGGCCAACGAGGCAGTTAGTAGATATATGTACATAATAAAACGGTCTCAACGTTCATAAAATGAATTTGTTTGTAGTTCACTAGTAATTCCATTTAACCTTTTTGTCATAATAAACTCGGTGTTATATTACTACAGACATTGATTGAAGGAGAATTCTTAACTCAATCTTGAAAATAAAGAAAAATATTCAGCATTTTCCTTTATCTTTTGGCGGTGATCACATTTTTGCTTTTTTATATACTGCTAAGCCTCTGTATGGCAAAGCTAATGAAATTCTCTCAAGTTTATGACCTCACACATTGAGACAATACCCTTATTATTCTGGCTCATAGTCTCTCATCTTTGCCAAAAATGTTTTATTTTCCATGTTTTTCCGAGCCAAATGAATTCTTGCTTAGCCTATTTATTTAAAAAAAAGTTATACCCGTCACTGTCAGTATCATTTAATTGTCAAAATTTTAGTAAATAAATACTTAATCAAAATATTAAATAAACATGACTATAGTAATAACGTTAGATTATCCTTTAATACAAACGTACATGGTGCATTCAGCGCTATTAGTCGTGAAGTTATTAGCTTTGAGTCCTATGGCAGCCATGACTTGGGTGAGGAAAGGTGTGTTCTCAAATCCAGATATCGTGAGAAGGGCTTATTTATCCGAGTTGAAGAATTTAGCGCCGTTTTGGTTGGTTGGAGCTCTTTACGTTACAACGACTCCCCCTTCGGACATCGGGATAAGTCTATTCAGAATGTTCACAGCAGCAAGAATGATTGTAATCCTCGGTTATGCATCGAAGCCAGTTCCTGAAGTATTTACGGACTTTGGCCTCATCCTCTCGTATCTGATTACTTGTTATATGTCAATGTACGTAATTTATTACTACAGAAACGCTATTTAGATGAAATATAAATGAAACATCGACTTGTTTGAGCCAGCACTACAAAGTCTTTGTGACTCGTTTTAAGGAACCAAATCGGAAAGGAAATTGCTTTTTAGATTGTGTTCTGTTCAATCTAGAGTGTAGGGAAACGACTCTCTATTATTGTTATAACCGTATTATTAATACAAGAGAGAAGAAATATAAAATTGTAATGTTTTAGAGACTTTTACAATATTTTGTAATCTTTACTACAATTACGTTGTGACTGTTAAGTGGAATTGACTGTTCAAAATAACTTGTATTTTAATTTTTGATTCAATAAACGTAAAATTATTTTTTTACATTTTTGACTTTTTATAGACTGCCTCGTTGGCCGAGTGGTCGCAAGTGCGACTTCCGGGCAAGGGGTCTCGGGTTCGATTTTGGGTCAGGCAAAACACATATTACTGGGATTTTAAAAATCTAAGTAGTCTGGAAATGTGCCCGATATATGGCAATAGGTTTACCCCCTATTACATGGGACTCATAACAAAAATAGTGAAAAGTGGGTGTTACACTGTACAGCGGCATCGAGTGCCGTAATGTGCACCTCTGCCTACAACATCAGTTTATTGTCATCACTATAACATATTTTACTTGTACACATAATGTATTTAGAGCCAAATTAGTACAAAGATGTGTAGATTGAATAAGTCCACACAAGACTAACACAAACAACGTTTTAAGAGCAACATTTATAACATTCTTTTTACAGAAAATATGATACAAGTATCAGTAGTACACTGAAACTTATTTCATTTTTTATCTGAGACCCAAACAAACAAATTGAGAAATATTTTCAAACATTTGAACGGCAAACAGAATGCCAACGAGGATACCGAAACAATTGTCCCCGTTCACTTCAGTGGAAGATCTGATACGTCAAAGAAAGAACTACTCTACATTGTGTAGCTCCATAACATTGGGATTCACTTTATATTAGGCGTGAGGCGTATTCCGCGTATTTATTACAACAGATATAAGTAACATGTATTTTGTTACTTAGATAACAAATAACAGTTGTTTCCGCAGATATAAGTATCAAGTGTTACACAGATAACAGGTATCACCTGTCCTTGTGTCCAATCAAATTACAATCACACTTTACATCATAGTTAC